CAATTATTTGGTAGGTTTGGTACACCTAATGTTTTGGTTTCAGATAACGGGACGCAGTTCACGTCGTTAGAGTTTGCGGAGTTCTGTAAACAGAATGGAATCGAACACGTTAGAACTCCACCGTATCACCCTAAGTCGAACGGGCAGGCAGAGAAATTTGTTGATATTCTTAAACGAGCTCTCTTAAAGATGGGAGGAGAAGGCAACGTAGAAGAGGCTCTGCAACAATTTCTCATTTCCTATAGAATTACGCCAAGTCCAAACTGTCAAGATGGGAAATCTCCAGCCGAAATAATGTTTGGCCGACCGATTAGAACATTTTTTGATGTTTTGAACCCGAAAGACAGAATCAGTGGTCTACAAAAAAATAACAAAGGGAATTGCCTGAAAATTCGAGAATTCAAAGTAGGTGACTCAGTCTATGCACGGGATTTCCGGCCTGGCAAGCCAAAATGGATATTTGGGTTTATAAAAAAACGACGTGGTACAGTATTATATGAAGTGATGGTCGAAAATACACTAATTATTAGACATGTAAATCAACTGCGAGATAGAAAATGTGTTTATGAGTCATCTAAACTCAAACCATTACCAATGGAAGTATTATGTGATACATTTGATATTCCACCACCACCACCACAAGTTGAAATGAGAAAAAATGATCTAGAATCAGAAGTTAGACGAAGGTCATTCAGGAAACGGAAACAAACGAAATTTTTTCAAATAGACCCCAAAGTGAAATCATACGATCGAACTTCGCGAGGGAGGTGATGTGTGGGCGAGAATGTCAATGATTGGTTGTCTCGATGAGTCAGACATTAGAGGGGATGACAGGTGTTATGTGTTATATATATATTTCCCTATCCTTATTATGTAGGAACTTATTGACTGTTCCATGTGTCGGATTTTGGTGTGAAATATATTGACGTTATAGTCAGGCTAATATTGTGTTCTTGATCTGAGTTCTGTTGAAGTCCTGTAGAATAGACACTGGGTGGGAATCTAGTGTAGATATTCGTCTAAGATAAATTAACGTCCCACATACGTGTAAGAAGTAAAAGGACTGTTATAACCAGAAACCCCTAAAGTTATAACCAGCATCCTCTCTCTCTCTCTACGTTTATAACAATTGGCGACGGCATACATACGTTTATAACATTGGCGACGGTGATTAAAACGGATCTACGCTTACGTATTCACTTAAAGTTAACTTTGTATCAAGAAAATGGATGATCTGAAAACCTTATTGCAACAGCAAAATACTCTTATCGAATTATTAGTCAAAAATATGTCGATATCCTCAAGAACTGATGTGTCTAATTCCACTATGACTCCGGATTCTATTGCAAATTCAATAACTGAATTTAGATTTGATCCAGAAAGTGGAGTTACTTTTGAGGCATGGTTTAGACGCCATGAGGACTTATTTATTAATGAATGTAAAGAGTGGGACGAAAGTTCGAAATTGAGATTATTATTACGAAAGCTCGGAGTGTCCGAACAAGAAAAATTCTGTAATTTTATCCTCCCAAAGAAGTCATCCGACATAACGTTCAAAGAAACAGTCGAATGCCTGACTCGTATATTTGGTGAACGGTCATCAATTTTTCACACTAGATACCAGTGTCTTCAACTCGTAAAGAAAGTACAGGACGATTACGTAACGTATGCAAGTATCGTGAACCGGGAATGTGAGCGGTTCCGATTACAGGAAATGTCCTCAGATCAATTCAAGTGCCTTATTTTTGTATGTGGATTACAATCTCCAGTAGATGCAGATATTAGAGCACGGATTCTAATGAGAATCGAACAAGATCCTAATATCAGTCTACAATCAGTATCTGAAGAGTGTCAAAGAATGGTTAATTTGAAGCATGACACGAATCTCGTAGAAAGGAACAGTGAACACGTGGGAATTAATGCTTTATGTAAATCTTTAAATGAAAATAAAGATTCGAACTCCCAGAAAATCCCAAATCAAGTGAAACACAAAACGTCATGTTGGCGATGTGGTAAGTCTCATTCTGCCAAAGTTTGTTACTTTAAAAAACGAGTATGCTTTCAATGTGGTAAATATGGTCATGCTCAAGTATGTTGTAAAAGTAAACCAAAGGTTTCTGACCGTCAGCACAAGTTCCGTAAAGGAAATAAGATACAGACTTCAAAAGTAATAGCACATAACCGTAAGTTAGAGGAAGATATATTGGTTGCTTCTATATCAATTGAACCGGAAATAAAAAAAGTGTTCTGTGATGCTATCAGAATCCTACCAGTAACGGCAGAAGCAGTTAAAGAAGCCACGGGTAGTGATCCTCTACTTAAAAGAATAAAAGAAGCTGTTTTAAAGGGTTGGAAACAGGACAAAGCTGATCGAGAGTTTCACCAATTTTTCTTGAGACGTGAGTCTATATCGATTTATGATAATTGCTTGATGTATGGTGAACGTGTTGTTATCCCTAAATCTCTTCAGCTTTTTGTGCTTAGACAGTTTCACATTGGTCATCCGGGAATGAACAGAATGAAGGCTGTTATGCGTAGTTATGTCTATTGGCCATTCATGGATAAGGCTGTGGAAGAATACGTAGTGAGATGTCGGCGATGTGCCGAAGTTGCAAAAGATCCACCGAAGGTAGAATCCCAGCCATGGCCAGAAACGACAAAGCATTGGGTCCGACTACATGTTGATTATGCTGGACCAATAAGTGGACAATATTTTTTGGTGGTGGTTGATTCATACTCAAAATGGCCTGAAATTTATGTGGTACGAAGACCATCTACGTCTGAAACACTGCTACATCTGAGACAATTATTTGGTAGGTTTGGTACACCTAATGTTTTGGTTTCAGATAACGGGACGCAGTTCACGTCGTTAGAGTTTGCGGAGTTCTGTAAACAGAATGGAATCGAACACGTTAGAACTCCACCGTATCACCCTAAGTCGAACGGGCAGGCAGAGAAATTTGTTGATATTCTTAAACGAGCTCTCTTAAAGATGGGAGGAGAAGGCAACGTAGAAGAGGCTCTGCAACAATTTCTCATTTCCTATAGAATTACGCCAAGTCCAAACTGTCAAGATGGGAAATCTCCAGCCGAAATAATGTTTGGCCGACCGATTAGAACATTTTTTGATGTTTTGAACCCGAAAGACAGAATCAGTGGTCTACAAAAAAATAACAAAGGGAATTGCCTGAAAATTCGAGAATTCAAAGTAGGTGACTCAGTCTATGCACGGGATTTCCGGCCTGGCAAGCCAAAATGGATATTTGGGTTTATAAAAAAACGACGTGGTACAGTATTATATGAAGTGATGGTCGAAAATACACTAATTATTAGACATGTAAATCAACTGCGAGATAGAAAATGTGTTTATGAGTCATCTAAACTCAAACCATTACCAATGGAAGTATTATGTGATACATTTGATATTCCACCACCACCACCACAAGTTGAAATGAGAAAAAATGATCTAGAATCAGAAGTTAGACGAAGGTCATTCAGGAAACGGAAACAAACGAAATTTTTTCAAATAGACCCCAAAGTGAAATCATACGATCGAACTTCGCGAGGGAGGTGATGTGTGGGCGAGAATGTCAATGATTGGTTGTCTCGATGAGTCAGACATTAGAGGGGATGACAGGTGTTATGTGTTATATATATATTTCCCTATCCTTATTATGTAGGAACTTATTGACTGTTCCATGTGTCGGATTTTGGTGTGAAATATATTGACGTTATAGTCAGGCTAATATTGTGTTCTTGATCTGAGTTCTGTTGAAGTCCTGTAGAATAGACACTGGGTGGGAATCTAGTGTAGATATTCGTCTAAGATAAATTAACGTCCCACATACGTGTAAGAAGTAAAAGGACTGTTATAACCAGAAACCCCTAAAGTTATAACCAGCATCCTCTCTCTCTCTCTACGTTTATAACAATTGGCGACGGCATACATACGTTTATAACATAATGTTGTGAATTTTTTTCTGAAATGAAATGACAATCAATGTAAACTGTAGTTTTTCCTCTAATTAAATAATATATATGATTAGAAGGAATTTTTAATACAAATTTCAAGACAGTTCTACTGTATAGAACGAAAACTTAGAGAACCACAAAAGCCATCATCGAGAAGATACAAGTGTTTATGAACAATTGTTTACGCAAAATACTCCAGATCCGTTGGCCAGACACCATCAGCAACAGCCTACTGTGGGAGAGAACAAACCAGATTCCAGTGGAGGAAGAAATCAGGGATAAGCGCTGGAAGTTGATAGGACACACAATGAGGAAAGCACCCAACTGCGTCACAAAGCAGGCCCCACTTGGAATCCCTAAGGCCAAAGGAGAAGAAGACCAAAGAACACATTACGCCGAGAAATGGAGTTAGACGTGAAAAGAATGAACAAAAATTGGATAAGACTTGGAAGGCAGACACAGGACAGAGTGGGTTGGAGAATAATAGTCGGCGGCCTATACTCCATTGTAGGTAACGCAGGCAAGTAAGTTATGATGAGGAGAATAGTTGTACATTTTATTTTCAAGGTATGAGTGAATTCATAAATAAAAAAATGAAAAATTTTCTAAAAAAATATAGTAATGATAATAACTATATACACACATATACAACTGATATAATCAGTGAAAATACAAAAATATTTTATGTAGTTGAGATCATGAGTCAATTAAAGCTAGACCACCATCGAAAACCTGGAAGCACTGGACGGCCGTTTCGTCCTATTATTAGGACTCCTCAGCGGTGCGCACCCACGATCCCGCACTCGCGAGATTCGAACCCAGGACCTACCAGTCTCGCGCCAGAGCACTTAGCCGATAGACTACTGAGCCGACATCCAACGGTGTTAATGTCTAACCTCAACCAATCCACAAAATTGTACTTCCAGGTTTTCCATGGTGGTCTAGCTTTAATTGACTTATGATCTCAACTATATAAAATTACTAAAATCTCCACAAAACCCCCTTGTGATAAAAATATTTTCTTTTACCTGTTACAGCAGTTAATGCTCCATGTGAATGAACTAAACACAGTACAAACTGTACACCGAAATAACCGGACAATGAAAATATAAAGCCATAACCATAAGTTTGTAAAGCATGCTAATTAAACAAAATAAAAAGAGACCATATTGAAAAAAAGAGTGAAGTAACAATATTTCATGGAGGATTTAACGTGAAATAATAATAATAATCTGTTATACAATCTAAGGTTAAGCAGACATTATTTTTAATTCTAATGCTTTAATGAAGTGTAAAGTTTATTTATTTAAACACAAAAATATTGGTACAAGGAAGCACCAAATACATATGCGCCTCACAAATCAAATGAGATTTGTGTGAGGGCTGTGATACTGCTGAGGTGCCCAAACCGAAGCAAGTGGTTTTCTTAGGGGGGGGGCACACCCGGAGCCTTCGACCTAAAGGTCTGATCCACAAGGCAGTGGAGCATCGTGAGGTGATGCATTCCCATGGTAGCCGGTGACCAACAATTGGTTCATACGCCATTCGTTCCTTCAGGATCCTGGAGCCCATGTGCACCATTGGTTTGGAATCAGGGTTTGCCAACTCCCCTAGGTGGACTATCCGTGTCCACCAACCCGGTTAAAGCGCCGTACATTCGCTTTTCATCCTCTCAATTTCGTAAACAACAGTGTTGCCACGAGAAGGCAGGGAGTAGGACTTTCCTGGCAGAGGCTATGTACGCGTGTCCGTGTGAGAGCATTTCGAGAGGGAGAGCGGACTCTCCCCAATCTCGGCAGTATCAGGGCATTTGGGAGCGAAGTGTAAAGTAAAGAAAAACGATTCATTATTAATGACCTTAATGCCGACAGTATACATTTTATCAGTAGTAATCAATGTACATTAAACAGATTTCAAATTGTTATTCAAAAGATATGTTCATTAAAAAAAACAGGCATACATAGTTTGATATTCTATTTTATTGTGAATTGAAGTGAGTTTATCACCTATAAATGAAACATTTCAATGTTCAAAAGAACAAATCATTCATTAGTTATACAAATTATAGTTATGGTTATAATCAGAAAGTTATAAATAAATATATTTTTCAAAGTTGAAATCATGAGTCAATTGAAGCTAGACCACCATCGAAAACTTGGAAGCACTGGACGGCCATTTCGTCCTATTATGGGACTCCTCAGCAGTGTGCATCCACGAACCCGCTCTAGCGAGATTCGAACCCAGGACCTACCAGTCTCGAGCCGAAGCCCTTAACCGATAGACCACTGACCTGGCATCCAACGGTGTTAATGTCTAACTTCAAGTGATCCACTTCAAGATACATGTCCAGGAGTTCTAGTGGGAAGCAGTGACCAGTGGTGTTCAACCACGTCTGTTGTGAGATAGGAACTCACTGAAGACAAATGGTGAATGGTTGCTCAACTTCGTGGATCAGTTGAAGTTAGACATTAACACCGTTGGATGCCAGCTCAGTAGTCTATCGGTTAAGGGCTTCGGCTTGAGACTGGTAGGTCCTGGGTTCGAATCTCGCTAGAGCGGGTTCGTGGATGCGCACTGCTGAGGAGTCCCATAATAGGACGAAATGGCCGTCCAGTGCTTCCAAGTTTTCGATGGTGGTCTAGCTTCAATTGACTCATGATTTCAACTTTGAAAAGTACTGAAATCTCCACAAATCCCCTTCTGAAAATAATATATTTGTAATATTCCAATGAGAACACATTTCACTCTCTGAAGAAGTGGCTTACACTGAGTCACGAAACATCAGAAAATCTAATTTTTCTAATCATTGGGATATTACAAATATATTACTTGTTTATATAATCAGAAAGCTTTCATTCGTTTTCTGTTGGTCTATCTGAAGTTTTTATTGATCACGTTGTCTAGAAAAGAATCAATGCTTCACTAAGGAACCACCTAGTTTCAGGGAAATAATATTAGTGGAGGATTGTTTAATTTTAAAGATGTTTTTTTCATTAATGATAAGTAACAACACGATTGGATAATCAAAAAGAATCAAGAAACACTAAATAATTGATTTGTTTTAGTTTGGATCCCCCACTGCAGTGAACATTCATGACGTTACACACAAGACTGGATCAAAGGACTTTCAGATTTTATAGCAATCATGATTGTTTTCTTCATATACTAAGTGCACATTTACGTACTTAAATTTGGGTCACACTTTATTTGTGTGAGGGTTAGGAGTACTATTTGATCAACTAAACTCCAGTAGGTGCGAGGGGGTTCAAACATGTCAAATACTAGTTGAAAGCCAACTGCTTTAACTACTGAACTACCACAACATGATATCCTCAGAATACTGAGTACGAGTTTAACGGTGTACATTTTCAATATCAGCCAACTTGCGACAGGAGCAGATAATCCCCAAACAGTATCATTGGAATGTGCCTACGTCAGTCAGAAACGAGAGTACATCGCCCAAAGCTATCATATCAAATTGGCACTATCAGGATTAATATCGAAGTAGTAGTAGTGGTAGTAGTAGTAGTAGTAGTAGTAGTAGTAGTAGTAGTTAGTGTTTATGATAGTAAAAATAATTATATCCCTCACAATTGACCTGATTGAAAGCGACCAGTCATGAATTTCTGGTCAGACCAATGGCGAAGTTGTAGGTGTATGTTGCCAGATTCCGAAAAAGGACCGGGTAGATACCCATTTCCACCTAGCTTTTCATAGTTCTATGTTGGATCAAAACCAACAATAAGTATTGTGAAAAACTAAGTACTTAACTTGTATGAACAAATATTAAAAAATTTAATAAAACAACGATTAATTAATAAGTAAAAGCATCATGAAATAACTAAACAATACCTACATCATTAAAAAAATAGAAAGATGGAAACAAGTTGCCGGATATTGTTAGAACGGAAGCCAACAAACAAAAGCCCAATGAATACGAATAAAACAACTGAAATATTAGTTCATTTCAGAAAAATTAAAAAGAAAAGCGTAAATTTGGAAAACGTTAAAACAAATGGGAAAACGTTACTTAAATTATTCAACTCATATTGATTTAATTTCCATTTACGAAAATATACAGTCAACTGGAACTCTTAAAGATATCGATATAAATAAAATAAACAATTATGGACTTTGTGAACTGGTAGTTCCCGTACAATGCTCTGATAATTTCAAGGATACAACCATTCTATTTATTTCCTGAATACTCTTTGAGGCAGAAAAAATCATTACAATCGAATAATACGATAATTCTTAGGGAATAGCGAGAATTAACCTTGACAGTTAAGTATTAGTTTATCGGATAGTGAATGATCACTTATGACATTTGATCGTATAATTTTTTTCCCAATGTGTATATAAATATGTGATTCCATCAAATGAAAAAAACGTTTTTCTGTTTAATGTTAATGCATTTGATATTATTTCATTCAGGAATTTCAGTAAATATTCTTTTCTTATACGCAACCATTACTCGGACATACTGCATTATTGTATCCATCAACCGATCAGCCCTCTATTCATTTATACCAACCAAGCAAAACTCGTCAAGGTTCGTCATCTATCCTAACCCATAAAAGTTAGTATACAAAATTGGTGGACATCATTCCATTTTTAATCTCAACAGTTGTCTAGCTGAAGTCAGTTCTTGATGGAAAATATGAAAATAGTAATAGATTTATGTGAAAATTTTAAACAATATCGACAGAGTTAACCTACAATCTCTGAATTTGATCGAACATAGTTTTTCATGATAATTTCCTGAAAATTACCCAAAGCTCCATCACAACATAATGCGAGAGAAACTAGAAAAACTCCTACAATAGGAAAGATAAGTTAACCAACGCTTGTAAGAAAAACTTGTTGAAATCTATGAAAAATTTTATTTCTCTGGTAAAATTTCAATAAACGATAAAAAAATCTTATACAATAAATAGTTCATACAAATAGACCCAAACGTTGATGCTACCTTGACGTATTGGTCAGGCTTGCCTATCGTGATGAACCGGTCGAGCTATACTGGCTGAAACAACCGTTCCTAAAGGTCCTACCCCGCCAAACAGGTCGGTAAGACTAAAAGCAGCAAACTCAAGGCCGGAAGGCGAAGTCGTACTGCTGACTGTACAAGGGTGTGACGGCAGGATTGTGTTTCCTACACACAACCAGCATAACAACGATGCTGCCTTCTCACAAGGAAAGGTGAGGTTGGAAAAGGCCAACCCTAAAAATGTACACTTCGCCTTATCCCATGGATTTCCGTCTCCGGCGGTAAGGTCCCAACAAGTACGGAGCTAACACAAAAAGGTCGTGTGTGACCGGCCTCAAGCAGTTGTCACATAAGCACTGCAGTCACGCTCTCACGTCACTAAGACCACCTCTAAACCAGTTTCCTTTTCAGGTACCTCTAGAAGAACCCTTCCACGGTGTGGGCAACCGGGAAGTGACAACTGCCCTCATACCTCTAACGGCACTCAAAACCACTGTATTCATAATCAATCTCCTTCCTCAATTCCCACTATTCCTTCTTCCTCGACTTTCAACACTAAACTTCCTCCTTCGGTTTCCTCCTCAAGTGTCACCATGGCAAACAATTCTAGTGCGCGAAACATTGTCCCAGGTCTACTGAAATCTCACTCTAAACTACACGTTGGAGCCTCAGACGTACGTACCTTATGTCCAATCGGTCAGCTGGTCTTCCTGGCTAAAACCCTAGTCTCCTACCATTGATGTATGCTGTGTCTCCGAAACACACATACAGGAACCTTGTGCCGTCATTCACTTGACCTTACCTCGCTAAAACGCGGAGCCGACGAGATACACCCTTCGTGTATCTGGCGACCCGATGGCTAGCTTTAGTGGACTTGCAGGTGTAGGCATAGCACTTAGTACTAGGGCATAACAAGCACTGTTAGAATGGATCCCCTTAAACAGTCGACTGTGTGCTGTCCGGCTAAATGGCTCCGTAAGAACTCGAAAGGATAGGGACATACGTCGTTCCCTTTTCGTCGCTTCTGCCTACGCTCCCACTGACTGCAGTCCGGATGAATTGAAAGATAAATTTAACAGAAAGCCTTCTTCAAAAAGCTAAAAAAAAACTCAAACATAGCGCTCGTAGCACATGACTTTAATACCGAAGTAGGAAGCTTGAACCAAACAGAGAGATATATAGGTGGGTATTTTGTTATTCCAGCTCAGCGCACAGATAATGATGACTGTCTGCTGCAACTGTGCTCAGACAATCGTTCATTTCTAGCAAGCGCTAACTTTAAGCATAAGGAGAGACATAGTCTAACATAAGGACCACCTGCACCAAACCAACGATGGACTCAAATAGACTATATTACCATTAGTCACCGTTGGAGAGGCTCGATAGAAGACTGCCACTCGTTCTGGAATACATGTTTAGACTCTAATCATGCTCTAATATGAGCACGCATTCGCCTGCGTCACACTGGACGCAGAAAAACCAGATTAAAAAGACTCATCAGAGTTGAACGCAGTGGTAAGAAAGCCAAAGGTAAATTCCAGGAACTACTGAAGTCACACTTAAGCAATTTCGAGAACAAGGCTGACCCATATGTTGCTTGGAAAAATATACGAACAGCTGTGGAAACAGCAGCGTTATCTATTAGTGATTTGAACAAAAAAATTAGGGAAAATAAGTGCATTTCTAATACATCTATTGCACTAATGGACTCTCGTAAACTCATCCCATCTGGCTCCGAACACGATGAAGAACGAAAGCGAATCAGATCTAGATTAACCAAAAGTCTGAGTAACAATGGTGAGTAGTGGTGGGCAACGAATGAAAAAAATATGGAAAAGGCAGTAGCTGTAGGTAACACCAGATAGCTTTCTGGACTCATGAAAGAAACTAGAATTATGAAGTCTAGTGTGAGTGAGGTAATCTCGGAAGAAGACGACACTCTTATCTACTCTCAGCACAAACGCTTAAAACGATAGGCAGAACACTTTAAGGAGCAATTCATGGGGCCTTCAGCTACCCTACAACTACCCACCATTCCCTAGCAGTCTGAAAGAAACATTGAAATAGGCCCTACGACTCTAATTCAAGTCCAAAAAGCTTTAGCTAATCTAAAATGAGTAAGAGCAGTTGATCCAGATGGATTGGCTTCAGAGGTCTTTAAGTACGGCGGTCCAATTTTAGTGGTTAGGTTGACTAATATTTCAGTTAAAATTTGGAAGTTCGATGCAATCCCATCTGACTGGTCACAATCATTTATTGACCCAATATATAAGAAGGGGTCAAAATCATCCTGTGATAACCATAGAGGGATTAATCTGGCTAACATAGCATCTAAAATACTTGCCTCAATAATTATCGGGTGCCTAACTAAGACTCGTGAACTGCAAACACGAGAAAATCAGGCTGGCTTCAGACCTGGTCGTGGCTGTATCGACTACATATTAACTATTCGTCAGGTTTTAGAACACAGACATGTTTATCGGAGTTCGACAATGATAGTTTTTCTTGACTTGAAAGCAGCATTCGACTCTGTAGACCGAGAGGTTCTGTAGAGGTGTTTGTCATTAAAAGGTGTACCTCAGAAGTACATAAACCTTGTGAAGGCTCTTTACATGAACACTACTAGTCAAGTCAGAGTTTATGGAGAACTGTCATATGATTTTACAACCCCAAGTGGTGTCCGTCAAGGCTGTCCACTATCCCCATTTTTGTTTAACATCATTATAGATCTATTGCTGAAAATAACACTCTCGTCGACTGAATTTTCATGAATCCACCTCTTTCCATGAGGTCCACTTATTGACTTAGAATACACAGGTGACAGTTCTGTTTGGTGAAGAGACCGATAAAATGGAGATTCTCTTCGTAGCAGTGAGCAACAATGCCAAGATGTTTAGGATGTGTTTCTCCACCTCTAAACGCAAATTGTTGCTTTAGGACTGGCCTGCGTCAACACCTGGACCAAGAATAGGGAGTGAAGTAGTTGAACACGTCAACAACTTCACTCATCTTGGAAGTCTGATCAGCCCTAATGGGTTAGTGTCTGAAGAAATCTCTACACGAATTCAAAAAGCTTGTTTGGCTTTTGCCAACTTACGTCGCTTATAGTGAAGGCCAGATATTCGTCTATCCATTAAGGAACGAGCATACTGTGTGGCAGCTCGTTCTGTTCTACTTAACAGCTGTGAAACATAGCCATTAAGAGTACAAGATACTCGTAAGCTACTAGTATTTGACCACAGATGTCTTAGAAATATTGCTTACATCTGCTGGGATCACCGGGTAAGTAATAGTAAGGTTGTAAATCTTCATCGACTGAGATGGTTGGGCCACATGTTACGTATGCCTGAACACCGATTACCACAATGAGCAATGCTGACTAGTGTTAGGGATGGTTGGAAGTAAGTTAGGGGCGGTCAAACCAAAGTGTGGCATCAGCCCTTGAAGTCACTAACTTCTGGTCTGAGCAATGTTGGTGGATGCAGGCTACCTGGTTGGAGTTTGCGCAACTATCGTAACCAGTAGTTGGAGACTCTAGGTGGCATGGCTCAGAATCGATCACAATGGCGTGGGTGTTTACACTCTTTGTCTTCCCTTAAGCCGTGAGATTAAAATTACTTTATACCTTTCCTTCTACGAACTAATTCTTTTTTCCATGTACCATATCCTTATATGCAACCATTTTTATATATTACTACCATTAAAGTAACCACTTCCATGGATTTGGTGTTTATCTTCCTTACCTTAACCATGAGCTGTTAATCATAATTTGAATTATTCACACAGGTTTATAACCCTCATTTAGTCTTAGTTATTATGTTGACACTCAGAGTTACTCTAGCGTCGCTCAAAGGTCGTCCATAAATTATAGTCTCATCCGTAACCCTAAACCATAACCCTGAACCATACCAAAATACCAAAAACATTGAAGCTATGTGGTCGAGGCTAAAAGAATTTTTGAGACCTTATCATGGTTCCAGAGATCGACTACTATGGAGCCACATGGATGAGTTCCTGTGCCGGATGCACTATGATTTTAGAACTTCTGAACCTATATCTAACCTTGATAAGTTTTTGAGTCATGTAAAAGAACAGTATCCCCTTTAATTTTCGAGTTTTGTACAATATATTTTTACTGTATACTGTCTTCTGATTTGCTAATATTTCTCAAGGTCATTTTAAATTCGTTCAAAGGTCGTTCATACAGTTTAGTCTCGCCGAAATGTTTCCTCTTAAAATCAATTTACACTAGATACAGTCATTTCAATCTTAAGAATGTCATCAATCGAAAATTTGAAGTAAAATATTTAAGTCGGGTAGTCTTATTCAACCAATAGTATAAAGGATATTCATAGAATCAATTTTATGGCAAATTTTTGATTCCACCTTCAATTTAATAAATAAACAAGTATCTATCAGTCTGCATGTTCGATGTTACTCCAGTATTTGAAAATCATCTTAAATCTTTCGTTGCCTGGAACAATTATCTAACTACAGATGCTCACATGATTGTAAAGATAAACAAAATTTCAAACTAATTTCGATGGTTTACTACCAAGAGAGAACATAAAACAAATTGAAACCAGTCTCACTACTAAATAACATTCAACTATTTTCACCTTTCGAACATGCTCGACATATTACTAAATGCCAGTGTAGTTATCAAAGCTAACGCTTATCTAAATAAAAATGAAAACACATGAAAAAACAAGCTTACCAAACAAAGTAAACTTAGGCTGTATAGATACATCAACTAATGTAAAACAAATTAAACCTAACGTCATCAAAAGCACCGCCAATACTTCATAAATGGAATATCTTCTTCCTAAGTGATAATTACATAAAATATACTTCAATTTACCTTGTATAAGAACTCCACCTAATAGCACTGGGATCATTTTACAACACTTAAAAATCACTTGAGTTGGATAGTTAAGAAAGCCGACTGAAGCATTAGAAAGAGCAATGGAACCCAATGTCAATACAGCTACAAGAGCATAGAGATGAATCCATGGGCTAATCAAATAAATGTGCAAAACATGAAATCTTAATATTAGAACTTTACTTGAATAGTTGATAACCATGAGCACGTAGTTCCAAAAATGATAAAACCGAGTAGATTCCAAATTGATATAGTGTAAGGAATGGACTATAGGATCGTAAATCATTGGCAGAGAATATTGCTTCCTACAATGAAAATATAACCTGAAATATAATACCCAGTTTTTTAAATCGTTAGACATTAACAATTAAGTTATGTAGATGTAGTTGAATGACATTGCAAAATTGAAGATTTTGGGTAAGCAGCATTACTGAAAAATATTTTTGCCAATAATATTTAAAAGTTTCACTTGACGTTAAACGACGTTAAATATTACTGAGGAATCATAGTTTGACAAAATAGTATATTTTACTTTACTTAATACGCTATGTACAGTACGGTTTGTAGACGACAATAAAAAATATTACTATTACTCTACTTAATTATTCATCTTTCAACTTGTCATCTGTTGTTTTAGTTCCTGTGGAGATCTACTTGTACTTATACGGATTCCTTTTGGAACATAATGGAATTGTAAAACATTAAAAAATTTTGAGACTTTCGTCTAATTAAACATACCAAAAACATGAAAGATACTGTTGGTTAACACCACTAAAATGTAACCCATCCAGACTCCTGAGTTTAGAAAATTCCTTAATACAATTAATTCAAACTGTTATCTTCAAAACGCAGTTCTACATACCCAGCTGGGGTCAACAACGAAGTAACTTATTTTTTTTGTAAAACCCGAAAACTGTATCAACATTATGTAGTTAAAACATCGGACTACGTTGCTTACCAGTGACATTAAGATAATTACTCAAGCAGTTGATACGTGGACTTATATTTTCACTAAAATATTAGTCTTGCGATAAGAATTCCAAATTATAAGTTAGTCACCAATAACCGCAATACTCTTAATGAGAACCGAATTTTCTTAGTTTTCCAAGATGTGGTTTCAGGATAAAAGGCTATCTTAAAAGATTATAAACGAATAACCAAGCTTTTACCATGAAAACTATGTGTGCCACAGGGAACATAAAGGCATCTATGTTTTAATAAGCAATGATAGAAGTTCGATGAGTAAGTATTGTTAACATGATCGCTCAATAGGCATGGGGAAGCTAAGATTTATAAGGTCAACAAGTACAGTATTTGAAGTAAATATGACCAAGTGTTCGAATTCCGTGACAAATAACAGATTTGATATAGTTCATTCAGGTTTACCCCAAACACCACTAAAAATGAATAGCATTTGAAACGGACAACAAGACAAATAGAGAATAACATTTAGCAACATGGATTTATAATATCAGCAATAATTAATCCTTTCTAGAGAGTTTCTTAAGGGTTAAAAGCAGTATGAAATTGGAGAAATATTGTGAGGCATAATGCACAGGAAAATGACTTTACTGAATTTAGAGTCCCGAACCCAACCAGCTACACTTTGCAACAAAAAGCAACTCGAGGACGAGTTTTACTCACATGTTTTGAACTCCCTCATTCCTATGAAATTGGTGGCTATTTCAGTAACTGTACTATATCCACAAGTCACTTGGTTTACTGGTGATACAAATGCAACGGAAGTTTACAATCATATTCTTTTGAGGACTGATAAGGAGAAATTTGAAGGTTAACAATCACAACTAATGAGTCAACCCATGAAGATTAATATAAGCACGGAAATAAATACTAAAAGATGTTGAAAACGTTTGGACAAATTTATAACACTCAAACTCCAATAGATTGAAATGTAACTGTTAAGATTAGTTTTTACCGAGTTTTAAGATTTCCCACAAAACAGTACCTTTTGTGTTGGTACAATAGACATTTCTATATTTTTACTTTTTAAATTAGATTTAAAAGTCAGGTACGGTAGACGTTCCTTTCTTTAGTTAAGGCTGATTTTAACTGCGAAGTACTCGAAAAGTAAATCAATAAGTAGATTATGGCGTATTTCGTATTTCGTTAATAGCGGAATATGCACTCCGAGGCTTTTGAGGAATTGTTGGTTTTTCTTTGACCTTCCATTGTGAAACGTTTTTCGAAGTAATCTATGTTGATAAGTCCTTCGTGAGAGAATATCATATTATGCACAACAAGGGATTATCAAGGTGTACACCACTATGCTAAAAACATAAAAATCTGTTTATCAGGATTTCTAAATCGTCGCTACTCTCAACCCGTAGTTAATCCAAACACGATAAGCTTAACTTTTTACCATGTATAGATTAATGTAATCAGCTTATTTATTTATTTCAGCACAAACATTGGAACAAGGAGAAACCAAATAGATATGCGCCACATAAATCACTCGATCAGTGTGAGGGCTGAGATACTGCCCGGGTTCCCAAATCGGAGCTTTTGACCTAGAGGTCTAATTCACAAGGCAATGAAGCAACTTTAGGAGATGCAGTCCCATGGTAGTCGGTGACCAACAACAGATTTATATGCCACTTGTTTTCCTACGATCCTGGAGCCCATATACAATATTTGTTTGGAATTAAGGTTTTCCAACATCATCTACGTGGGTCCTCCGTATAGACCAACCCGGTAAAAGCGCCAGACATTCGATTTTCATCCTCTGAATTTCTTGAACAATACCCTCGCCGCTAGAAGGCAGTGGCTGTATACGTATGGCTATGTGAGCGCATTTTGAAGGAGCTGTCAGTCAGTCAGTCAGCTACAACGTAGGACCAGGCACATTTATGCATCAGTCCAAGTTGCCATACCTCGTTAGCATAGCAAGATGAACACCGAATTCGTAGAAGTAGTTAATTTAGTGGTGGTATTATATAAAAGATTGTATGTAAGGATATAGTATAGGAAGGAAGTTATGAAACAATTTTAACCTCAAGGTTTAAAAGAAGATAAAGAGTGTATACACCTGCGCCATTATGATCGATTATGAGCCATGTCACACACAGTCTCCAACCATTGGTTACGATGATCACGCGGACCCCAACCAGGTAGTTTGCATCTGCCAACATGGCTCAGACTAGAAGTTAGTGACTTCATGCTGTGATGCCACGTTTTGGTTTGGCCGCCACTAAGTGAAGCTCTCACTCGACTAGTAGTGTTCATGTAAAGAGCATTCACAAGGTTTATGTACTTCTGAGGTACACCTTTTAATGACAAACACCTCCACAGAACCTCTCGGTCTACAGAGTCGAATGCTGCTTTCAAGTCAAGAAAAACTATCATTGTCGAACTCCGATAAACATGTCTGTGTTCTAAAACCTGACGAATAGTTAATATGTAGTCGATACAGCCACGACCAGGTCTGAAGCCAGCCTGATTTTCTCGTGTTTGCAGTTCACGAGTCTTAGTTAGGCACCCGATAATTATTGAGGCAAGTATTTTAGATGCTATGTTAGCCAGATTAATCCCTCTATGGTTATCACAGGATGATTTTGACCCCTTCTTATATATTGGGTCAATAAATGATTGTGACCAGTCAGATGGGATTGCATCGAACTTCCAAATTTTAACTGAAATATTAGTCAACCTAACCACTAAAATTGGACCGCCGTACTTAAAGACCTCTGAAGCCAATCCATCTGGATCAACTGCTCTTACTCATTTTAGATTAGCTAAAGCTTTTTGGACTTGAATTAGAGTCGCAGGGCCTATTTCAATGTATAGGGAGCTGACTCCCCCCACTCTCAGCCATCAGTCAGTCAGTCAGTTACAACGTAGAACTTCGTACGTACGTACATCAGTTCGAGTTACCATACCACATTAGCACAGAGATGAAGTTGTCGATTCAAATCCCATAGTCGTAGAAGTAGTAAGAGTATAGGCATTATGTGAAAGATCAGGGTTTGAAGATGTTATTGAAGGAGTATAATCCAGTGAAATAAATTTGGAAAGAGAAAAAGGATACGGACATAAATGTTTCAGAAGATTAGAATTCCGTAGAACACAAAGAGTGAATGCACCTTCGCTATTGCAAACGATTTTGAGCCATGTCATTCAAGGTCTCTAACCATCGGTTGCTATCATCTCGCGAATCCCAACCAGGTAGTCTACACCTACCAACACGGCCCAGTACACTTGTCAGCGACTTCAAGGATTTATGCCATGTTTCGGTCTGGCCGCCCCTAGCTTTCTTCCAACCTGCTCCTACACCATAAAGCATTGCACGTTAGGGTAGTCGGTGGTTGGGCATACGTAACACGTGTCCCAGTCATCTCAACTGATGAAGTTTCACTACTTCATCAATCCATTTGCCATCCTTACCTAGTACCCGTTCCCTAACATCTGCATTATTTACCCGGTGGTCCCAGGATATACGAGCAATGCGTCGAAGACACCTATGATCGAACACTAGTAGCCTACGAATATCCTCTACTCTTACCGGCCATGTTTCACTGCCATAAAGTAGGACGGAGCGAACTGCTGCACAGTGAACCCGTCCTTTTGCTGCTAGACGTATATCTCACCTACGCCATAAATGGCGCAAGTTGGCGAAAGCTAGACGAGCCTTCTGTATCCGTGCTGAGATTTCGTCACACACCAGACCACAAGGGCTGATGAGACTCCCAAGATAAGTGAAGCTGTCAACACGCTCAACTACTTCACTCCCTATCATTAGTCCAGGTGTCGATGCAACCCAATCCTGAAGTAACATTTTGCACTTTGAGGAAGAGAATCACATCCCGAACATGCCTGCATTGTTGCTTATAGTGGTCAGAAGACTCTGCATTTTGTCAGCGTCTTCACCGAATAAAAGTATGTCGTCGGCGTATTCTAAGTCAACAAGTGAATCTCCCGGTAAAAGTTCAACTCTAGGAGATTGAGGTGATGAAAGTGATATCTCTAAAAGCATGTCAACGACAAAGTTAAACAAGAATGGGGAGAGTGGACAGTCCTGACGAACACCACTTGAGGTAACCAATTCTGATGACAGTTCACCATAGGCTCTAACTCGACCAGTTGTGTTCGAGTAGAGAGCCTTTATGAGGTTAATGTACTTCTTTGGTACTCCTTTCACTGACAAATACTGCCATAGAACCTCACGATCAACGGAGTCAAATGCCGCCTTAAGGTCAAGAAATAATACGATTGTGGGACGTCTGAATGTATGCCTATGTTCTAGGACCTGACGTAGAGTGAATATCTGGTCTATGCAACCACGTCCAGGTCGGAAACCAGCCTGGTTTTCTCTAGTCTGCTCTTCACGAGCTTTGGTTAGGCGTCCAAGTATTATTGAAGCTAATATTTTAGACACTATATTAGTCAAACTGATCCCTCCGTGATTGTCACAGGAGGACTTTTGTCCTTTCTTATAGACTGGCACAATCAGTGATTGGGACCAGTCAGATGGAATTACGTCCAGTTCCCAGATTCTACCTAAGACCTCAGTCAATCTCGTTGCTAGTACTGGACCACCATCCTTAAAAATCTCAGGGGTAAACTTGTCAGGGCCTGCGGCTCTCCCCCGCTTTAGATTTCCTATAGCTTTTTCAACCTCGTAGAGAGTTGGAGGACTTACCTCAATTTGCCATTCAGGACGACTGGGGATCGTGGGTAACCGAAGTGTGGCTGAAGACCAGTTGAACTGATCCCTAAAGTGTTCTACCCATCGATCCAATCTCCTGGATTGAGAATGAATGATATGCCCACCTTTGTCTGAGATAGTTTCGCTAATAGTTGGGTTCCTAATACCGGTTTCTTTAATAAGTCTGAATAGCTGTCTGCTGTTACCTATTGCCACTGCCTTTTCCATCTCTCTTGCTTAAGAGAGATCGCTTAAGCTGACTCCGCTCTTTGTTATGTTCAGAGCCAGGTGGGATGAGTTTTTGAGCATCTATCAGTGCGGTAGATGCTGCCGAGATCCATTGTTTCTCCCTAACCTTATGGCTTATCTTACTAGCGGATATCACTGCTGTTTCCACAGCTTTTTGAATGTCATTCCACGCTGCCTCGGGGTGGGCACAACTTACATGGCTGCCTAACTGTTTTTCCAGTTGTTCCTGAAATATATTCTTAGCTTGATTATCATTAAATAGAACCCTTAGAGGCTTCCCTGCAGTGTCTTTCCTACGTCCAGTAAGACGCAGACAGATACGTGCTCGCACTAGAGCATGATCTGAGTCTAAACATGTGCTCCAAAATGAGCGACAGTCTTCTATCGAGCCCCTCCATCGGTGGCTGATAGAGATGTGATCTAATTGGGTCCAACGTTGGGACGAATTCGGGGATCGCCATGTCAAAAGATGTTTTTCCTTATGCTTAAAGTTAGTATTTGCACGAAATAGGCGGTTATCTGAGCACAGCTGCAACAGACGGTCACCATTATCTGTTCTTTTAGCCACACCATAAGATCCACCTAGATGTCTTTCCCTTTCACTTAGTTTACCTACTTGAGCATTAAAGTCACCAGCCACTATAAATACATCAAAACGCCTAGCTTTTCGGAGAAGGTCAGAAAGTTTCCTGTAAAACTCATCTTTTATATCGTCTGAGCTACAGTCAGTGGGAGAGTAGGCAGAAACGACGAAGAGGCAACGACGAGTTTCCCTACATTTCCGAGTTCTTACTGATCCGTTTAGTCGGACAGCGCACAAACGACTGTCTACTGGGATCCAGTCTAAAAGAGCTAGTTCTGCCCTACGACTTAATGCTATACCTACTCCAACGAGGCCACGGGAAGCTGCATCAGGGCTTCCAGATACACGAAGTGTGTATCGAGATGGTTCTTTATTTTGATTAGGTGAGGTCAAATGAATGACACTACTCGGATCTTGTATGCGCGTTTCGGAGATGCAGCACACATCGATGGTGTAAGATTCTAGAGTCCTAGCTAAGGAAGCCTGTTGTCTTATTTGGCACAATGTTCGGACATTAAAAGTTCCTATATTTAGTTTAGAGCGTGGTTTCAGGAGACCAGGAATAACGTTCTGTGTACTTGAATCGTTTGCCCTAGCGGTGCGAGGTGATAAAAGGACGTGGGAAGGGTTAGTCGTGGAGATAAGAGAGTTATTAGGAGTAGGAAGGATTTGAAAGTGACCAACTTGGTCTCCTGTGCAGTTACGGGTATGAGGGCTAATATCACTTCCCGGCTGTCCACACCGTGGAAGGGTATTTCTGGAAAGACCTGAAAAAGAAGTTGGGTTAGTGTTGGTCTTAATGACCTGGGAGCGTGACCGCAGTGCCCAAGGGACAACTGCTTGAGGCCGGTCACGCACGGCCTTTTTGTGGGGGGTTTTTGACGTGTTAGCTCCGTTCTTCAAAGGACCTTACCGCCGGAGACGAAAATCCGTGGGATAAGGCGAGGTGTGCATTTTTAGGGTCGACCTTTTCTAACCCCACCCCTCCTTGTGGGAAGGCAGCATCGCTGTCATGCTGGTTGTCTGAAAGAAACACCTTACTGCTGTCACACCTCTGTACAGTCGGCAGTACGATTTCGCCTTCGGACCCTGGGATTGCTGCTTTTAGTCTTACCGCTCTTCAACCGACCTGTCTGGCATGGTAGGACCTCGAGGAACGATTGTTCCAGCCAGCATAGCTCGATTGCCTCATCACGATAGGCAAGCCCGACCACCACGTCAAGGTAGCAGCAACGGTCGGGCACTCTCGGCCATACTAAGACATTTGGTGAACTGTAAACAGTTCGGAGCCATGCTGTTTGTTAGTAATATTACTTATCTACCGGAACCAAAGTAGATGGGATGGAGTCGCATATTTGACCTTAGTTGAAATATAATCAGCATATTTGCAATTAAATGGCTTTTACCTAATATCGCACTTTTCGATTAGTGTATTCAAGGTGTTTGATGTCAACAGATTTTGCAAACGAGAATAAATCGTACGCTGATGAGACGCGATTTATTCGAAACTCGACAATTTCAAGTTAGCTTTGAAGACATGATGAAGCAATACTGAGAATTTTCGAAATTCATTATTAAGAACCTACTAATTTTCTCTAGATAGATAACTGTAATCAAAAACTAAATTAAACCAGCGGTGTACGATTCACTAAAACCCATCAATAAAAGGCCTGATATTTCAGTTAATCAATAAAAAAACAATTGGGGTTATTATAATCTTATAGTAACCCCAATGAGACTTGAGTCACATCTACTCCAGTATTCTTGACTCAAAGACACCGAGTAATATTTAGCTACCATGTACTAATCACCTCCGAGTTACCATGAAACAGCTGTTGTAGGTTCGTTAGGGGATAATTTATGGCATTTTTGAAACAGTGGCTAAACATTTGAACCATTTGAACACACGCTCTTGGATAGACAACTACCTCTTGCCAATTCGAAAGCAGTTTTCAGATAAATACCTAGTCGTAGATGAAAATGTATAACAATGCTCTAAAATTTACGACTCTTTAATTTTTTATCTGCATATATTTACAGACGCACACGTGTATAAGTGCCTATTTATCAGATCAATAACAACCGAATTTTTTCGAAACTAACCTAAACCAAATAAATAGCAATGAATGAGTAATGAAATGACCTGTAATGCTCCGAAACATATATACAAGATAAAAATCCCAGCAATTGAAACACCCAGTTTCCAGTTGGGTGTTAGACTTGACATGTTGAACCCGCATATGTATATTTCATTATTGTTTGGCATTGTGTTAATTTTTATGGTGGCCCGTTCCATCATTTTGAAACTATCAGCTTTTGAAAGCGCACAGTGTAGAGATGAAAAACAGTAACGCAGAAAAGTGCCTTGACGTCACAGTGCTGTTGCCCAAGTTGAGTAACATTTGTAAAAGCGCCAAGGTCGCGATTCTGTTTCTGGACTTCAGACCTCAACAAGCTTCTGGTTATCTTATTAAGATTACTGACTCGTTGGAGTACATTCAGAGTGTGAGAGCAAAACCAGTGAAGTCTCTTCAAACCCCCATACAACGGAAGCCCAAAATACTATTTGGGTAATGATATGACTTATCTTTTTTCTCTCTCTCCAGCACTAATAGTCTTCGAGGCCATAGCAAGAATGCTTAAAAACTGCTCAACTTTACCTTTACAAAATTTTATATAATAAAACCACAGTAAATTGTTATGCGTTAAAATTTGCTGAAAGCAGTAATTATAACCTTCGTAATCGATATTTTTACCAAAGATATCGATAAAATCAAGCAAATTAAAGCCAATTTTCCTTGTCACACACCACGGAAGTCTCTGGACCACGTCACCGGTAAACATCCGATCAAGTCAAAAGCTTACTCAATTTAAATCCCCTTCAAGCGGGTTTATGGACCTCTCTAGAGTTTTCCACATGCTCGATGGAGCTTACCAAAGGCAACCTCAATTTACTGATGTGCCATCCAACACCCAACCTTGTGAATAAATAAACGATTGACACCGGTGGCACAGAACGCAAATGTTCAACTCCCAAGTAACACCTGTAATTTCACATTTCACATGTCACAGTCTCAACGCTGTGTTTTATTCGTTTCCTTCTGTCATATGCTTCGTATTCCCTTTTATAACTAGTAAATAACCATGCTTCTTGGGTTCTCTTTTGATCTCTACAACTACTGGTGGAGTTGCACACACTGAATCTTAGAAGTGCCTGGAACCATGACCCAATAAAACTTAATGCAAATAGAGATCACTCGGGTGGAAAATCATATATACTCAGAATCTGTCCATAAGAACCTCTATAAAACATAACACTGGTTCACCCACAGTATAACGGATTATTCTTCTCATTGAATTACGCAAGAAACATTCACGTATATACAGTATATCTTCCGCCATATGATGACAATGTGAAAACGTATATAACCGTATGTATACAATTATTTATCTATTTTAACCATATGACAGGACCACAATTTTGAACCTTCAAAAAAATATATAGTTGATAATTGTGAAAAATGCGCCTTAAATTTTGTATACTATTCCTTAAACTACATTTGGACACCGTAACTGGAATTACCTGTTCGGTTAGTGAACAGATACCTCATCAATCCTGTGAGTGCTGCCCAACCATGGCCGATCACAAGAAGCACAGAATATCTCAAATTCTCGTGAGTTCCTTCTAATTCATGTTCAAATGGTTTAAAAATAGATTTAGTTATTTTTAACATTCAAATAGTGTTTTTCTACCTACTTAACGTCTTGCAAATTTCTCTACTCTAAACTCTTCTTTCAGATTCTTTGATTCGGCATCTGTTCTTATCATCCCTAAACCACATATCATCTGAATAGTGTCTTATAACTTCCACCATTAGTTAACCTGATAGCAGAGTGACAAACTGGTTGTGTAACCATTTTATACAAAAGTTATCAGATTTGCTTGTAACACGGAACGAGTAGTGACAGTGTATTCCAACAACGTGTGTAATATGGGGCATAGATTGAAGCAACATTCATACATATCACAAATATATATATATATATATATACTGAGGATACAACGAATATTCTAGTTTTACAACTAGCAACCAATAGTATCTTCTATATACGATTGTGCCCGTCTAGAGGAAATCAGAAGTCAGACGAGAAGAGGTAGGAAAGATATATTTGATGCGTTACCAATATATCGAGGAACCTTTACTATAAGCTGGCTAATGAAACGTAGGAACTGTGTCTCACGCTGAGTTGAAACGCGATCTGGTGTGGATGCATGACCGAAAGCCTTCAGCTAAACAAGTCCACTTAAACAACGTGGTCAGCATACAATGTCGAACACTTAATGAACTATTGATTTTGGGGAATTATTTACAGCTACAGATCACTCCCCCCCCCCTAGTGAGGTAGTGATGCCCCTAAAACGTGACCAGCCAGAAGTTTAAACCCAACGAGTTTGTCGTTGGTAAACACTCTTCTGATAGCTTGCTTCGTTTAGCAGCGTCTGGTCGTCTTTCCTTAAGCTAAGGGACCAAAATGTACAACATAGCAATAAAGAAATATAGTACAATGAAAATTTCTGTTCCTTGCGAAACTTCGTCGTTCTTTTCCAGCCGTCCTGGAAAAGAGGAAAAATAAAACGTGTGAGTGCATGTCGAAAATACACTCGTACTTGCGTAAGGACACAAGATGAGCGGGGGAAAAAATGAATAAACTAATACACTTACAAACAGCGTAAAAGCGATCGGTAAAAAATGTTTTTTTGGTTTTATACATATATAATATAAATACGCTCAAAAATATAATGATGTTTTTTTTTTTGGGTTTTTTTTATATAAATAAAAAATTATCATATTAAAAATTTTTTTATAACGAACTATGGAAGGGTAATTCAAGATAAAGCTTATGTCCTACGTGCAATATTCGTTAAGATGTTCTGGAAATCTGACTCGTCTTCCAGAACGCGTTGTTTTAGGTTTTTCTATCGACGTTGACGAAGTATCAAGTTGTGTGTCGGTTGTCGTGTAGGGTACTACGAGTGTAGTGGCTGTGTCGTTTGCTTGTACCGAAGGAAAATCGAAGTAGATAGGGTTTCCATCTAAGTACGCTGCTTTGAGTCGATCGATATTGATGCTATCTTTCGTACCGTTCTTATCAACTACATAGTACTTAGGTTCGCGTTGAAGAACTTTGAAGGGTCCTTCGTATGCTGATTCAAAGGATCGTCGATGTGAGTCTCGACGAACGAAGACGTGTGTACTATGTCGTAATTCGGGTTGAACGAAAACATCAGTTGATTGAGGTCGAGTGTAAGCAGGTTTAACTGAACGCATAGCGTTTGTAAGCCTACTCGTGTAAGAGTTTAGATCCATGTTCAATGAAGAAGCTGAAGGATCCACGAATTCTCCTGGGAGTCGGAGTGTCGTTCCGTAAACGAGTTGAGATGCCGTGTATCCAATGTCAGCTTTCACTGCATTGCGGATACCTAGCAAGACGAGTGGAAGAGCGTCTGTCCACTGTGAAACGTTTGAAGCTGATAATGAAGTTTTTAATTGTCGATGAAAACGTTCTACCAACCCGTTTGCTTGTGGGTGGTAGGCGGTCGTTCGGAAGCGCGTGATTCCTAAAAGTGTGGTCAGACAACGGAAAAGTCCAGATTCGAACTGGCGTCCGCGGTCTGTAGTGATGGTTGAAGGGCAGCCGAAATTTGCTACCCATCGTTCGACGAAAGCGCTAGCCACTGTTTCAGCAGTAATGTCCTTAATCGGTACTGCTTCTGGCCATCGAGTAAAACGGTCCACGCATGTTAAGAGATATGAATATCCATTTGAGTCGAGTAAGGGTCCTACCAAATCTAGATGGACGTGGTCGAAACGAGCGTCAGGGGTTTCGAAAGAACCTAAGGGACATTTGTTGTGTCTGATCACCTTAGATTTCTGGCAGCTTACACAGGAGCGTGCCCACTCCCTCACGTCTTTATTCATACCAGGCCAACAAAAGCGTTCGGCTATAAGTTCGATTGTTGCACGAGCACCTGGATGAGAAAGATTGTGGAACGTATTGAAGACGTTGCGGCGATAGTGTTTTGGTACAATTCGACGATCCCTACCTGTAGATGTGTCACAGAGTAAGGTTTCCTTACCTGTTCCCATCTGCTTAATACTTAGTTTAAGAGTTGTCGAGGATAACTCATGCTGAAGATCAATGTCTTCTTTTTGAAGCTGAGCGAGTTTAAGAAGGTCGATTCCTTGGAAACTGTTCAAGGAATTTATTCGAGACAAGGCGTCTGCGACTACATTGTTAGCTCCAGAAATGTGTTGTATGTCTGAAGTAAACTGCGAAATGTAGTCGAGTTGTCGAGACTCTCGCGGTGAGTCGTTAGTTTGAATATAGCAAAACTAAAAGCATGCTTTATCCTCTCCCACTATTTATTGATTATTAACCATGGCCTTCCGCTCCTAACCCTCATCTTCAGTTTCCGAATCTCTCTAATGGATAAATCCAAATTATTCCTCCTAAGTGTCATGTCCCTTTGTTTTTCTTATTACAAGTAGACAGATAACTCACTAATCTTATGGATGCTGACTAACTAAGGCCGATCAAAAGAAGCTCAAATGTCCTAAATTCTTGTAAGTTGTTCAATGTTTTGTTTTCCTTACCCTGAAAATTTTACAATATTCTCTTTCATATCCTCTGGTTTGCTATTAGTCCTTACCATCTCATAACCACATATAATCTTACTTGTCTCTTATAACCTTCACCATTAGTTATCTTCATAGTAGTACGATATATTAAATGGATATCTAACCCATAATACAAATGCTATTACCATCTGATTTGCTTGTAACATGGAACTATGGTCCTTGATTAAAGCAATAGTCATACTGACCACAAACGTAAGAGAGAGCCTAACATCATAAAAGGAGGGAGGGTGGCGTTACTGACCAGCAAACATGATGGTGGGGATATAACTTCAATCCACCCATGTCTGTAGGGCAGAACATATTAATTACGGCTCCTTATGTCTAGTGGAATGTCGCGAACCAACGGTATTAATGCGAAATTATTAACGAAAAATACCACTTAAGATCATGTCAAAATAAAGCTAAATTGGTTCCACTTCCTACCGTGTAATCCTATTACAAGCAAACTAGACAATTGGCTAAAAACGAAGCCCACTCTATATCCTATAAAATCTAAAAACAGAAAAGAGAGTTCAAACAGCTTCGAAAAAAGGGAGACAGCCATTTGTATCGGGATACTGTTTTCAGCAATTTATTTTATAATTACGCAATTCCATAC